ATAAAGAGCAGGTTAACAGACGGCATTTAAAGAAAAAAATAACCATTTTGAACCGTAAACACTTAAAAAGCTAGCGTTGTATTCCAATTTTAAAAGAAAGTATAACTGAAGTGGATGGTAACATTCAAAACTATTTAATGATCTTATGGAAATGTTATAATGTTAACACAATTTATAAAGCACTGAGAATGAACACGCTCAGCAGTGTGTAGTTTCAATGAGTTTAAAATCACACATGATCATGTCAACAATATCGTTCACCAAGGACAGTCCTAAGGTGTCTAAAAAGATCTATACTAAAGGTCTGGACAGAGAAAGCAGGGATATGCTTGGTTTCTTAAGAGTCACAATACACATTGTGCACAAAATGCACATTTTAGCAACAATTACACTAGTCACAATTTTTAATCTTACAGGATAAAGGTATAGTATGTGAAATTACAATATATTTTTCTTTAAAACCATTTTTAAAGAAGGGCACATCTGTCATTTTTCAGAAGTCAAAAAACCAGCAGAAAGACATAACTGACAAACACAGTCTTTAAAATATTTTGTGGCTAATTACATGCTAATTGTCAAAGTACAACAGAATTTTTGGTCCGTGAGGCCCTTAAAAAATGAAATGTAGGTAAGGTATTCCCATTTATCAATAGAAATACAAAGTTCATGAAAAAACTTCAATACTTTTTAAAACATCTGTTGACAGAATGCTTTTTTTGTGTGCGGTTTAACAATGAGAAGTATCTCTAATAAGTAACGGACAGGACAGAAGAAACAAGGAAATTAAGATGCTTTAATAGGGCCATCTTGAAATCCTCTTTTGAAGGCCATCAGTAATAACACTGTGTTTGAATGTCAACTGAGACACTTCTCATTTCTTGTATTAACATGGGTCAGGACTTCCGGCTGAGCCATGCTGGGTTTCCTCCCCCGGGACAGGGACGCGCGAACTCCCGCCCACCAGCCCAGCCCGCACAGCTACCCTGTTCACTGACACTCTGGTCTGCGGCGGCTTCTGTGCCGTGTGAGCAGCGGTGAGCAGGTTGGAGAAACCAGAGGATTCCCCAGGCCTGGATTAGTTCCTGCCTGATCCGTGACTGAGAAGAGTTGGTCAGTCCCTGCCCTAGGGAGCTGGCCAGGCCCATCGGAAACACCGTGTGCTTCTCTAACTTTGATCAGCTCTGCTTTCTCTGACGCTAATGCACGTGTGTAGTTCCTGGATTTGACACTTCATTTTATTTGCGGGTGTAGACCTAGGAAGCTTGTCTTGAGTAAGTCAGTCGGAGAGCAAAAATGAGAACAGAAACAAATCTACCTTAGGGCCAGCGCCATTAAATGGGGGGGGGGGGGGGGGGGAGGAGAGGGGACAGCTTGAGAGTTTTCAAAGCACACACACATACGTATCTCGAGCCCTATCTAACCTATCACAAACTAAGAGCTACAACGTAAAGTATATTTGTTTTATAAATATATTACTGTCCATATACATAGATACAACCGTAAAAGACATGTTAAATAATTATCTGTATAATCAATACTACTTTAAGTTTTTTGTGTGTTTTAAAATTACACATTCTATTAAAATTATCAAAATAACTCTTTAAAAATACCAGGAATAAAACCACTGAAGAGTTGCTTTCCATTCAAGTGGTTCTAGAATCTTACGGTTGGTCCTCCAGACTCCAGGCTTGGTCCTCCACAAGTCAGACAGAGTCCAACGGAGGGAACGAAGGTGAGCCACCAACGGCGTGACACCCTCTCCCGTTTGTAATACTTCAGGACAAGTATGTAGGCATGTACGTATATATACAAATAAAAATGCTCTTTTTAAAGTTATATTACATATTCTCATAAAGGAAATTTCATAAAAGCACAAAGTTCAAGTTTCTACCAGTACCCTCACACACTGGATACTGGCGTGCGTTTCTTGCAAATGTCGAGGTCAGTGACAAACTCTATCAGGATTCAGAGGTCATAAACGGACGGAAAAACGGACGTATCGCGCGCAGGGAGGAAACCGTGAGGGCCAGGATTTGGCCAGCTGCATGCTACTCCCTCTGTACGGAGACACAGAGACAGTGAACCGGCTAATTACTGGGGAAAGGACAGTCAACTGTCCAGCGTTCAGGGGCAGAATATTCCAATCCGAATTCTTTCTCTTCTATCAGTTGACCACTCTGGGCAGTTTCTCTGCTAACCTCTCCTTCTCCAGTTATCTACTAGCACATCTGGTAGAAGATAGGATTAAGGTTAAGTTTAGGCTACAATGAAGGTTCGGAGTCAGCTATGGATTTAATTTAGCGATGGATCCTTTTACTTATTGCTTTAGAGAATTAAGAATTTGCTGTATCAAAACTCTGCCAAATATCTCATTCTTAAGCTCTGAAAGCAACGCGGGTATTTTAAAAAAAGGGGGCGGAGGGGGACACATCTGCTTGACCTAAGAAAACTGCTCTTTCTTCCCTCACAGGTCACTATACTGAAGGATTTCAGCGTGAGCAGGTGAGACTATTCACTTCGGGACGGTAGTGGCGAGCTACACTCTCCCATGTCCGGAATGCACGGCGTGACCAGACAACGAGCGGACACCGTGAGGAGCTCAGACTAAAAGTAAGATCCGCACGTCACGGGCGATCTCCCTGAAACAGGTTTAGTGAGGTTTGGCAGAGTCTTCAGAGAGTGGAAATGCTAACATGACGAAAATGGGAGCGAAACCTACAATTTAAAAAGGATTTCATACTGAAAAAAAAAAAAAAGAAAGAAAAGGCTTAGAACAGGACTAAGAAGGTACTCCACATCTGTAACCCTATTTTTGGCACTCGTTTACTCCTACACTTAAACTTGTTCTACGGAGAGTGACCGACGGAATCAGGGAGAAGAGCTTGACAAAGCGAGCAGGGTCGCCCCCAGACCTCGCTCAGATGGTGTGTGTGGCAACGTCCGCACTGTTTCCGGGTCCAGAGGAGGGCCACACTCTGCTCAACACCACCAGTAATTGTGTAGAACACCACTTTCCTGAATTAAGTTTGCTGAACACGGTTCAGATTATTGGATATGTCAATATGCACAATGCCTTTTAGAAGCATTTACTGTATACCCAAATCCTACTTCATGCAACACACAGTGTCACACAAGTAGTGAAAATGTTATCCTAGTCAAAGGCGCTGGACGTTATTTTCAGGCAGCATTTTACCTTTATTTTTAAGTTCTCACTAGGTAAGTTTTAGGAGAAAGAAAATGCCAATAACTGTAGTGAATATATTTTAATATAGTCTAAAAACTAAGACAGACACTTTTATTTACCTAAATTGTTGCTTTTATGTTTCTACCCTATCCTAGACCTCAATGTTACTTTAAAATTTTGTACTTAAATAAGGGATAAAATGTTGCCCAAAAGTCTAATCATAGTTACACATTTGTGTTTTCACTAGATCTACAAATCAAAATAGTTCTTATAGTTAAAAAGATACAATTTGTATCAACAGTAAAAGGTACTTTCTGGCTTTTTCAGGGCTTTACTTCCAACTGTAGCATGGAGAATGGTCAGAATACCCAGGGCATCGAGGCAGACGACAGACGCAGACTAGGAGTCTGTCGCGCAAAGTGAAATTCGGAGCCTGGAGGCGACAGTGGAGTCATGTGAGGTACACGACCCTCTACCCTCAATGCAAAGGTCTGTCTGCTGAGAACAAAAAGGAATTCGCACCTAGCAAAACCCACTTTGAAACCAGAAATATCCCTTACTAATACTAGAACAGACTTCAGTCTGTAGCTAAAACTACACTATTTGTGGCAAGAATCTGGCCTTAATAATATAACAGGCCCCCCAAAAAACTACCTTCAGGAAAATGGAAAATATACAGTATCTTACAAACATTTTTAAGTTACCACTTAAAATGCCTCCACCGCCCTTCCTATAGTGCAGTATCAATAAATTTTGCATATCCTCAACACGTACACCCACCTCAGGCCAGCCTTGATAAATAGCAGGAAAGCGAAGAGTATATTAAATATAAAAGTTGCATTGAGAATAATTAGATTCATTAAAAACAGGCAAGTACTGTGAAAGGGTTCTTTTATCCAGTCTTGTTGTGCCCCGAAACAAAAAGGACGAACACATTAAAAATACAGGTTAATGAGAATCTGGGAATTCAGTTCCATTTTCTACCGCCTAGAAGCACATCAGCGCTGGGTCACAAAGCTCTAAACTGGCACAGTTACGGCTTTTGCCTTCTTAAAAAAAAAAAAAAATGGAAACAACTTTTTCCATTGATTGCATCTGCTTTCCTTTAAGTCATCCATATTAAATTAACTAATTACCTAACGGGGAGGAAAAAAAAAATCCAAACAAAAACAATGAAAAGTGCCGTACTGTAAATCATTCTAATATAGACTGTTACCCATTTCCATATAAACTGGTAACTTATATTTTGTTTAAAATATAAAGTCAGTGCTGTAGTATATCTTTGTTTCTATAAATAATGATTATAGCACAAAGAAGCCCACCTTCCCCAAATAAAAATAACTTAAAAAGCTGTAAAAGATTCCAATTAAGCTTGGCTTGCAAAATTAGTTGGCTAGGGTCTAGTCAAAGGTCCGACATTCGGAAAGTATTGTAATTGCTTGCAATTGATAGACAAACACCAAGGTAATAAAACACGAAACAAGGATAAAAAGTGCTGCATATAAACCCCTGATGCACCAAAGATTAATATCAAAGATCACAGAGACATCTAATAAATCAAACTGGAACAACTTCCAGCCGAGGAGAGAGCTTTTAAAAAGGAAAGGTTTTAAAAAAAAGTTTGGATGTAAAGCGATCCCGTGCTACTTCCGCTCTGGGGGGCTCTACGTCCAGATTCCATGATACAGTAGTTCACATAAATGGATACTATATAACCTCCTTGCGCCAAGGAGATCACGTGTGCTATTGTAGCAAACCTCCCTCAGCATTTGAGCTGAACAAAAAACTACTAAACACCACGAAGATGCATCGTCTCTCAGTAGCCCAGCTGCGACTTCTCCACGAGGATGGCGGCGGCCAGCTGCTGGGCGTCTGTCACGTGCGGGTTCCGCTTCATGACCGTCCGCACGAGGTCCGGGGGGAAGATGTTGCACAGGTTGATGTAGATCTTCTCTCGGTTGTCCTGGTACCGCGGGGGGTCCGGCGGCACCGCGCAGTAGGGGACGCGCCACGCGGGCTCCGGGGGCTCGGGGAGGCTCTGGAAGGGGAACTGCTCGTAGCCCGGCTGCGTGGGGTTGTCGGGCAGGGAGTAGGTCTGCCGGTAGCCGTAGGCGTCCAGGCCGTAGCTCTGCCGCTCCCAGCTCGCCAGCCCGTCCTGGTGGGAGTAAGGCTTCCTCGGTCGGGAGGGAGAGCTGTCGTACAGCCGCGAGTCCGAGATGCTGTCCAGCCGCGTGGCCACCAGCGAGCGGCCCAGGTGCGGCGCCTTGGAGTGCGCGGAGCCGGGCGGGGAGGGGTAGTCGCCGGGGCAGCTGGAGCGCGCGCCCGCGGCGGGGTGCTGCAGGTGCACGGCCAGGTGGGGCAGAGGAGGCTTGTGATGGTACTTTGGTTCTTCGTGACTGTAACTTTGCACTCTAGCTAGGGGGTCGTGGAAAGTCTGCAGGAAGGGCTGGGGGTTAAGGCGGCTGTGCGGGTGCATGTGTTGACACTTGAGGCTCTCTTCCAGCTGAGGGTCGGGGGAGCTGACGTAGGACCGGTCGTTGTACCCCACGTAGGAGTCACTGCTCCCACAGCTCATGCTCCCTTCGCTACTGCAGTCAGAGGCGACGGAGCTGATCCTGTAATCTGTGTCCAGGGAGAAACGCCTTTCGGGACTGCGTGGGCCTGAGATGCTCAGGTTGGAGTACGCGTTCAGCATGGAGTAGTATCCGATGTCGACGGGCGAGTCGCACTTGGGATACTGTTCGTAAGGCATCGGCGTTCCGTGATTTTTGGTTGCCATCATCAGCGGAGGATATTGTCCCTGTGGTCTTTGATCCTGAGGTGGGAAGTGAACTCCAGATGGAAGGCCATTGCTTAGAGACGGAGCGCTTTGGGGTTTTGCGGTGGAAGTAGCCGGGATACTGACTAAAGAAGGTACAGACCTGGTTTCCAATTTGTTTTTGGTGGGAAGCTTTTCCTCGAGGTCTTGGTAGACTTGGGTCCTTATGCTGGGGTCCGACTGCCTCTTTGGAGCACCCCGCTTGACGTCGGCAGTGCTGTCCGCTTTCGTGCTGCAGGGCACACTGTTGCTCTTCACCAGCCCGCCCTCGTTGGCCGTTTTGGCCGTGGTGTTTCTAGACATGGCCCGAAGCTCGTCGGCCACCGACCGCTGCGGCTGGCTGCCCCGCTCGGGATGGTAGTATTTGCACTTGTGGCCGTAGGTGCACTTCTTCCCTACGGAGAGGAACATCGATTAGGCAAAGGAGCGCCCAGTCTGGCACAACTGCTGTAACTCGGGAGACGAAGGTGGAAATGGAAGGGACACTAAGTTGCTCCTCTGTCCCTTCCTCGGGAGACCTGCCCCCTCTCCGTCGTCCCCGCTTCGGTCCTCTCTAGAGCGACCGACACACTGGCCGGGTGACTGAGTCACCTCCCGAGGGTTGGGTTAATGCCCTGCGTCCTCATCTCCTCCCTGCCCATCCTCTTCCCGTCTGGCTTCAAAAGTGGGACCTTCTGTTCTGGAGAGCCACGCGCACCACAGTGACGCGCTCGCCCCTGCTCGTCTGAGGTGTGGCTCGAGGTCAGAACTCCACATTTTGACCTGCCTGGACTAGTGGAGTTTTTGGAACCACGTTTTAACTTTGGGAAATGCATCTGCATTGAACTTGACTAGGTAAAAATAATAACTTTTTTTCACGGCTAAGATGTTTTCTTAAATTTAATCACAATCCAAAGAACCACATACTATGCCATCCAAAACATAACACGTTTATTTTTAGTAACAAAAGTTTAACAACAGACTTTGCTCTGAAGGCGTATATTAAATAGTTCTAAGGAAAGTTACCGTATGGACAAGGCTGCTTTTTGTGTTCAGGAACAATAGGTTTCTTCCTCAGAAAATTATCCAGGCTGGGGCCGTGTCTGCCAAGAGGGTCATCAGGGGGCATGAACCTGTCAGGGATAGAATGAAAAGTGATCCCTGAGTAGGAGGTTGATAATTTAATTCTGAAGACAGAAGGTAGAGATTGATTCACTCTAAGGACTTCAAAACATTTTTTTTTAAAGATTTTATTTATTTATTTGACAGAGATCACAAGCAGGCAGAGAGGCAGGCAGAGAGAGAGAGATGAAGGGAAGCAGGCTCCCTGCTGAGCAGAGAGCCCGATGTGGGGCTCGATCCCAGGATCCTGAGATCATGACCTCAGCTGAAGGCAGAGGATTTAACCCACTGAGCCACCCAGGTGCCCCTAAAACATTTTCCATCAAGTATTTTGATTCAGTGTCTATGGGGTAAAGAATCTCAGTACACAGAATTTCCTTAATGAGCACAAAAGTGAAACGTGTCAAGCCGAACTTGTATTGGTTTTAACTCAACTAAGTTTTGAGCCTTGCAGATTCTCATGAATTCTTTCTTCCTGCCAGCCTCGGGATTCTGTAAGGACTTCAAAAAACAGCACCAGGCCATTTTAGGAGGGCGCTGTGAGCCTCGATCCTGTCCAGTACAGAGGCCGGGTGAGCAAGGAGCAGCGGACGGGAGGACGGACACCGGCCCAGCCCCGGTTCAGGCCCGAGGCCGTGTGTACCCCCTCGCCTGTCTTCCGGACAGTGGGCCCTTCGGGTATTAATTTTTGCAGATTAATACACTTTCCTAATTAGCGGACTTTGATCTGAGCTCACATGCCACAGCTGAGACTGCACGTCGAACCCCCCAGCCCATTCTCTTTGTGCCTTGGCAGAGATGGACAAAATCTCCCGGACACAGGAGTTCCCAGCCTGCACAGCACGACAGGAGGGAGTTACAGCTGAAGAGTTGTGCTACTTGTGAGGTCAGTGGTAGAACCTGAAATGGGCCAAGCAGTTACCCAGAAAATGTGAACGTCAGACCAACTCTTATGGGAGCGTCAACATGGCAACATTATTAAGAACAGAAGAGTCACTCAATCCTATGACCTGAATACAATTGTTTTTCATTTATGTGTTGCATTTTAGTCGTTTCTGTATGCATACACATTTCCCAAACACAAACATAATTTTGTGTTTTGTCTTTTTAACACATAAATGTCCGTGTTCCTCAAGAGCCTTCATGCTCCTACTCGAAGAGCCGGAGAATATTCTACTGGGTGCAGAGTGGCTTAACCAACTTCTCTGCTGTAGCTTTAGCTGCCTCTGAACTGTTGCCATTCTAAAACACACAGAAATGACCCTATCTGGTCTCCCCTCAGATCCACTCCCAGAAAGGAGATGATGGGCTGGAGAGGGTATGCTTATTTCCAAGGCTTCTGCTGACCCACGGCAAACCGCGTGAACAGTTTCATTATCTCTCAGGAGACGGCTTTTTATGGTCCTCTGCCCATTTACCAACTTAATGGTGGCTGGAGTCTTAACCACTGGCATAGGATTTAAAAAATCACATAATTTAAAAATAGATTTAAGGCTCTGGGTAGCTTTGGAAAGGCAGTGTCTTGGGGGTTGATCTGTTCCAGAACCATCCCTCTCCGTTCTGACAGACGGGCCGTGTGCGCGCCCTGCCGCGCGGGCCCTGTCCCTCCTACACGGCTTCCTTCCTCCCACGGAGGAGCAGAGGGCGAGTCAGCCATGGGAAGAGACGTGTCTTGGGTCTGGTCCGTGGCTGGCGGGGCGAGCGCTCCTGCCGCAGCTGGCCCGGATGGCTCCGCGTGCAGGGCGGCGGGACCCCCGGGGGTCCGTGAGCGGGTTCACTTACTTGTCGTTGACGAAGGAGTACATCAACAGTCGCTCATCTATGAACTTCTTCCACTCGGGTTTCTCGTTGGCCAGGTCCCTGTAGTTGTCATTGGACACGATGATCCCGTCCGACTCAAAAGCCAGCTTCACGATGAACCGGTCATCGTAGCACACCACGCGTCGGCCCTGCACGCGTCGGGACGGCGTGAACACCAGGATTTTCTCCTTCTCTAACTTCCGCAGGATTTCCTGATCTGCAAGGACAAGTGGGGCTGTCAGGAGTGAGTACTTCCCTAACACGGAGGGCGACGCGTGTACAACGTGACTTTTATGAGACGGACTGGATTGATGCCATCATTTCACCAGGGATATGATTTACAGCACATTTTTAACTCCCAGTATTTTTCCTTGAGGACTATGGTAATAAAGCCTTTAAAAATAGTCCCCAAGGTGACTAAACACAGTTTCAAACTTTAGCAGAATAAACATCAGCTTGCTCAGTGATGTTTTCCAGCCATTCTGACAACACAGCCGTGTGGGGCTCAGGGGTGCACTCCCCTCCCCCTGCCAAACCCCGCTGATTCTTTCCTGTTTTCTGACGAGGGGAGGGGATGGGGGAAGAGTTCGAGAAGCAGGAGCAGAAGTCATTGAGGTGGCAGAGGAAGAGTCTGAGGTTGCGGAAGGGTCACGGAGGCAGGGAAGTCACAACTGTTACAGACGTGACCGGTGCATGTTTTGTGTCCTTTCCCGGGACACACGTGGCGACAAGTGCAGCGTCCTCCCCGAGGCTGGGCTGCGGGAAGAGCTTAGAAGTGATTAGCCGGGAAGGCGGCCCCGGCGGAGTGAGGAGAGCTAGAGGGAACGCGCCTGCGGTCTTCTGTGGGCAATGCTCACAGCACCTGGGACAAACTCTGACTTGTTTAGTGGCTTCCCCCCCCCCCCCAAGGGGCTGGGGTTTCTACTTTGATTAATGATAAAAATGTTCTCTCTACCTTGCCTTCTTCCTGCTTTGGCTCTTCTACCTCCTGTCTTTCTATCATACATTCTTGCCCAGGATCATGAGGTCGTGATTTTTTTTTTTTTTAAAGATTTTATTTATTTATTTGACAGACAAGAGATCACAAGTAGGGAGAGAGAGAGGAAGGGAAGCAGGCTCCCTGCTGAGCAGAGTGCCCGATGCGGGGCTCGATCCCAGGACCCTGAGATCATGACTTGAGCCGAAGGCAGAGGCTTAACCCACTGAGCCACCCAGGCGCCTCATGATTTTTTTTTTTTTAAAGGCTACTTCTCCATGTTTGTTAACTGGAATTGCTAACTTTTAAAAAAAACCCTCTGTCTTCAGGGACTGGATGTGGCGGGCCTGTGCTACAGTGGGTCACATATCAATGGCCGCCAACATTAAGAATAGCCTCTTCTCAGGAAGTGTCCATCACGGGACAGGGGCGCAGACTAGGTAAGCAAGGGTTGTAATCACCCCGCAGGGTGGCGGGGGTGAGCCAGGGTCGCGGGGAGGGAACAGAAGCGGGATTAGGGGTCGGCTGGCTCCCAAGCTGGCATGGAGATTTCCTGATGTTCCCGACATGACTTCATCAAGGCCAGAACTTTGGTTTAGAAACGCAGCAGAGTAGAACTGGAGGACATGTGGCTGTTAGAAGCAGCAAATCATAGGTAAATCTCAGGTTCTGGCATTTTCTCTATCTGGCGGTCCTACCGTATTGAGCCTCCGATGCGGTCAGGAAGCTGGAAGTCAGGGAGCTGTGACAGGGACAAGCACAGAGCACAGTGTCTCCCAAGCTCTCAGCGCTGTTCAGCTGCACTTTAACAGACGGAATTGTTGATCTCTTTGTTACAGAAGACCAGGACACACCCCAAAGCTCTGTCTCACTACAGGATTTGTCGTAAGTATTTTTGTGTGTTGCCCTGATCAATGAGACATGGTACCTGCCTTTGTGTTTGTTTGCACTAGCGCTCTGCCCGGGAGCAGAGCAGGAGCGAGTCGTGTCTGGAGAATGAACGCGTGGGGCACTTAGAGACGGCGCTTCTGAGGTCTTCCAGGTTAGCCACTGCGTTCAGGAAGCAGCCACGCTACTTGATTTGCGGGAGTGTTTGCTCATACATGATAGGCCACGAAGTGATCAGAGAAAAATGGTCAACATCACCTTGCTTAATCTGCTTTTTCTAGGATAGCTAATGAGGTAAAAAGGACACCAGTCAGGGTCAGTAATCCTAACTGGCATAGATCCAGGTCCAGTAGGGCTACTAAGCGGAACCGAATCTCCTTCCCAGCACAGCACTGGAGCTCCGTGCTTGTAAGATAGGTGTTATCTTGCTGGAAAAAAGCGCTATTCAGAATCTCCAGGGAAGAGCCTGAAAATATGGTCAAGTTTCCTTTTTTGTACAGTGAAAAATAATGGACTACTCTATTTACCAGGTTTTGGCTGGTTGAAGGTTTTAGTTGGAAGTATTACCCAGGGGGAGAAAACACCTCCAGACCTTTGAGCAGCCCTTAAACAAGGCAGGGGTTAGGGTGCTGACCCCCTTACTTTTGGAACCCCCCCCCCCACAGAACTTAACCACCATGTAGAAGCCACATCTTCTATGTTATGTGTATTTTATATCTTTACATCTTAAAGTCCACTAGAGAGAGAATGTTACAAAGAAAATTGTAAGCAAAAATATGTTTATAGTACTGTACGGTAAAAAGTCCATTTCTGTTGTTCAAGGGGTCAGGTCGAGTGGTGTGGTCCAGAGCCCTGGTGCGCGGTTATGTTAAAAATTAAACTGAGAGGGGCACCTGGGTGGCTCAGTGGGTTAAGCCGCTGCCTTTGGCTCAGGTCATGATCTCAGGATCCTGGGATCGAGTCCCGCATCGGGCTCTCTGCTCAGCAGGGAGCCTGCTTCCCTCTCTCTCTGCCTGCCTCTCCGTCTACTTGTGATCTCTGTCAAATAAATAAATAAAATCTTAAAAAAAAAAATTAAACTGAGACACATCTGTCATGCCCGTGATCATTTTGCCTTCTTTCCAGTCATTTACATATTCAAATATTTTCTCCTTTTCGATTTATTTTCCCCCTGACTTTAAAGTACTCTAAGTTCCTTGAGCAAAATTAGGAAAGTAAGGGGAAATACTCAGAAGGAGGGAAACATAAAACCTCACAAAGAGTGACAGAGTCACTGTCAGTAATCGATAGAGTCAATTACTGTGACTACCTTGGCATATTTCCTTCTAGTCATTCTGTGTTTCTGTTCTTGCTTCTGCTTAAATATGCATGTATGTATGTGTGTACATGTACGTGCAACACAATAACTTATGGAAAAGAGCACTTCCTCAGCTCATTAGAAATTCTGCCTAAATAGTCTAAATACTCAAACCATTATAGTGAATGTATGGTTCATTTCTGGTTTTTTTTTCTATTTCAAGTAATAATGCACTGAATGTCTTTATGGTCCTAAATCTTTGCCTGTAACTCTGCTTACTTTCTGAGGAATTATGCCTAGAAGGGGAACCAGCAAATCTAAGAATATTAATATTTTAAGACTCAACTGTTTTTTAGATAGGTTGTAAAAATCTGTTTCCACAGCAGTGAAGGAGGAGCTCCCGGAGGCTTACCAGTTCTCCAATCTCTGCTGATTTGGGGGGTGAAAAGTAAGAGTTGTTTAGTTTGTCATTTCGTGAATTGCTTCTCTTATTGGGTCCTGCATTCCGTGCTGCCTGTTCCTACCATGTTACCATTTATATACAGGGGAGAGCCCAGAGTCTGCTTTCCCAGTGTCTGTGAGCTCTTTAGATGTTAAGGATGTGGATTCTTTGTTTCTTTTCTCCCTTAGGCAAATGAAAGTTCTCATTTTATTTTATTTTTTAAAGATTTTATTCATTTATTTGACAGAGATCGCAAGTAGGCAGAGAGGCAGGCAGAGAGGGAGGAGGAAGCAGGCTCCCCGTTGAGCAGAGAGCCCGATGCGGGACTCGATCCCAGGACCCTGGGACCATGACCTGAGTGGAAGGCAGAGGCTTTAACCCACTGAGCCACCCAGGCGCCCCGAAAGTTCTCATTTTAAAGAAAACTTTTCAAAACACAGAAGTATACATTTTCATGCAATGAGACTTATCTTTTCCTTTGTCATTTCTTCCAAAAATATTAACTTTAGTAAAGTTTTCCCCAGCCATGCAAAGACTACTGTTTCTGATGATTCTTCAACCATGCAGAATGCGCCGTTACATGGAGGAAGATGAGGATCTAAATGTGTCTGTTTTTTTCAGAGCGTTACCCAGGGTCTTGGTGCTCTTGGTTGAATTCCTCCCTTGACAGTTAACACGGACTAGAGTCTGATTGCACAGTTCTGACTCGAGCATGTCCTTATGCCAGCTCAAGTAATGACTTAATGATTAATCTTCCCTTCAGGTACGTGGCCTGTGCTCTCTGTTTTTGATTTGAAAAGTATAGTTTTCCTCATGCAGGTTCCTCCGTTTCTGTTAATGTTGGAGGTGGATAGAGGGGGAGGGAACGGTTAACTTCATCAAAATGTTCAGCAATAATCATGAGCAGTTTCTGCCTAAAATGCATACATTTAAAAATGACAAAATAACGCAAAATAGAGACACTTTATTGAGACGGAGTCCCCTCCTTCTACTTGACCCCAGAGAGCGGTCCCCCAAGGGGCCTGCCAGTGTGTTTTGAACTATGTTACTGATTTTATACTGCAGATGAGAAGCAGAGGTCCAAATGTGGCTCAGAATTTTAATCAAGGTCTCCTGACTCCTACGCATGTCCCAAAGTCACAACTTTACAAAATCTGAAGTAAAAAGCTTCCAAATCCCAAAAGGAAAACCAAAACCCCCAAACCACTGGTTTACGGAGCGAGGATATTACTGCTTTCTTATCATCAGCAGTGAGTTTGTAAAGACCAGCGATGCCGAGGTCTTGCCGCGGGGAACGGGGCGGTCACACAAACCAAGTAAGCAGAGGGACATCTTCGTCAGCGCAACACTTGACCGTGGCCGACGGCCCGCCCGGGGAAGGTCCGAAGCTGCGACCAGACCGCTCACAGGGCTTACCTGTGATGAGAGCATCGGGTCGAGACTGCTCTTTTCTCCAAGCCGGAACAAAAACTGTAACATCTTTGTGGCCTCTTTCCAAAAACCAGTCCACTGCCAACTTGATTCCCCGGCAGGAAAATACTTCTTTGTTTCCATGGCTGAAAGGTGATTTTAGAACACGTGAGACACCACAAAATCTAAATTCAACTCAATTCAAATCTGTAAGCAGAAACGGCCACTTAATTGCAAAAGTAATGGACTTTAAATTTAAGATGGAATTGTACAGCTCAGAGAAACACTGAGAGATCCTGGAAAGGTGAGACTCTGAGGAAAACTGGGATCATCATTGTGGGGAGAATAGAGTGAGTTTTTCAATATCAAGTTGTAAAGGCTAACTGGTATGAAGATACAAGCTCTGTTTAATCAGGATGGGGAGGAAAGGAAGGGGTCTCCACCACATCCAGAACTGTCAGATGTGAGAAGAAGTCATCTAGGAAAACCCCTGTGAATGGAAATTTATGTTCACAATGCTTACATTGCCTGTAAGAAACGCTTCCCATGTCCTTTAATGAAAAGACACCTGGTTTTAACAGTATCGTGTCGGACGAGGATTAATGATTTCAAAAGGGCACTCAAAATTGGATTACGCAGTCTTAGTGCCTATGAGAAAACGCTCAGATGAAAGTGCGGTCACTCAATTATCTAGCACCAGGCTCTGCCTGTGCACTTGAACCTAATAATTACAAAATTAACGCCGATTCTAATGGTTTTAAAAGAAATAGTCTCCTCCTCTGAAGGTAACAACTGTTTTTATATTTTTTTCAGCTGGAGTTCCATAATGGAGACAGATCTTCTTTACTTCTCTGGGCCGAGGAGGGCTGAGTAAGGTAAGTAAATGCTCTGTTAGTGTGTAGCACAAATCAAATATTAGGTATATTAACACATTCTCCTAAACCCTGGGAAGTACTAGAACCATCTAAATAATCATTTTAAGGACAAAACAGAGATAGACCAACTTGCTTTGTACATCCTGAGGCCTGCAAATGCGAACCACGAGATGGTTTGTGTTCCATGGGATGGTCCGGGGCAAGGGGACAGGTGGACTCAGATGCTGGGGAAGTTTCAGAGGGAAGAACCAGGGCAGGGCAAGTTTGAGGTCCGAGCTCCTAGGTCAAGTTCGTCTACTGGATGCCTTGCCAATGCCCCAGCAGACAACACACAGTGATGCAGTTTCATAGCAAATACTGAAACCGGCCTTCTGAAAAACTCTTGAAAACACTGGTATCAGCTCTTGAGAGAATAAATTTATTATACAAACATTCCCTGCAACGGACCATATTTGTATTTTGTATTAATGCTCTGAAATCTAAGTGTATTGTGCCTTGCTCGTTGTTAATGACATGTGGTTTCCTGAGGCTTGAGCATTTAACTGCTTCTGGCTCTAAAGAGAGCACTGCATCCGCACTTTCTCCCCGTGACTTCGCTTGGGAAGGGAAATGGTCACATCTGACTCACCACAAGATCAGATCTTCTATTTCTGCAAAGAATGTTCACAAAATGTGTGGCAATAGCAAATCGTTTACAATCATGGGACAGAGATTCTCTGGAGGCTGAAACAGGTATTATCCCATGTGATGCTGACGGTATTATCCCATGTGATGCCGCTCCTTGACCCCCAACCCTCCCCCATCCAACAATACCTCACAGGGAGAAAGCCCACAAGAGATGAGGGGTGTAACGGTGTGGGTGATACACAGACAAAGAGCAAGTGGTTGGGCCCATGCCTACCTCTGACCTTGTGCTTTGAGAAAAAAATACCTACTTCGATCTAAGAAACTGTAGTCAAGTTTTCTATCATTTATAGCTACACTAAAGTAAACTTGGAAAGCTCTATGGATATATTTTAAAAATGGAAAAACATTAGAAGGACAAAAAAGCTATCAAGTCATAGTAAAAAGAGAATTCACAAGGATGCTTTAATAATTGAGAACTGAGTCTCCAAATGAGTAACGCAAAAGATGACTCAATGAGTAGAAAGAAATCATTAATTGAATGATGAAGCAGAAAATGTAGTAATAATACAGATCAATTACAAGATTGACCTAATGGACATAGACAAAGCCCTGCACAAGACGAGAAATCATTTCAAATACATGTGGAAGATTTAGGAAATTGGCTATGGAACAGATTTCCATAGACAGCAAGAAACTGTATCATATGGACAATATTCTTGGACAATGTTATTACCCTGAAGATACAAGGTTCTAGTTCAAAAATTTGTATTGCTCTACACTAGCAAACCAACTAAAAATTTGAACTAAAAAGTCCCATTTGTAGGGGTACCTGGGTGGTCAGTCAGTTAAGCCGCACTCTTGATTTTAGTCCAGGTGATGATAGTAGGGTCCTAGGATCAAGCCCCGTGTTGGGATTTGTGCTCAGCAGGGAGACTGCATCAGGATTCTCTTTCTCCCTCTGTCTCCCCTCCTCACGCGTGCTCTCTCTCTCTCTCTCTCTAATAAATAAATCTTAAAAAAAAAAAAATCCCATTTGTTAACAAAAACTAAAATCTAAAGAGGGAAAAATAGACAAGAGCTTTATGTAGCAAACCAAAATGGAAAGCCTGTATTGAAGGGCATAAGTGAGGACTCGAATGAAAGGAACAAAAACATACTATTTTCATGGATGGCGAGACTCTATTTATGAAGCCAGCAATTCTTAGATTAATCTGTAAGTCCACTGCAATTCCAGTAAGAGTCCTTAAAAGGGATTTTTAGGGAACCTGGGAGGCTCATCATAAGATTAGAATGGGAAAACAATAGGCAAAGAATGGCTGAAGAAAAGAGGAGGAACTGTCCCATTAGCTGTCAAAACGTAGTATAAAAATACAGAAATCCAATCAAGGTTATATTGATACAGGCAAAAATTAAAAAAAAAAAAGTAACAGAAGAGTGAGCTGAAGGTAATACACGAGTATAAGTGACATTAGAAATTAATGAAGCTGGACCATTTACCATAGTCCTAGGGCAACTATTATTTACATGGAAAACAACTGTATTTTTATCTCCTACCATACACAAAAATGAATTAGAACAAAGATTTAAACATGAAAAATACTGTAAAGCTTTAAAAAGAAATTACAGGACACACACATTAGGATGGGGAAACACTTTTTTTTTTTTAAAAACATTTCATTTTAGAGCATGTGCACATGTGCAAGCGGTGGGGGGAGGAAGGTGTAGAGGGAGAGGAAGAGAGGATCTTCAGCAGACTGTGCTGAGCAGAGCCCCAAATGGGGCTCGAGCCCATACCCTGAGAGCAGGACGAGTTGGAACCCAGAGTCAGAGGTTTGACTGACTGAGCCACCCAGGTGCCCAGCTGGGGAAATACTACAGAAGACACACAACCACGTGCTGTCAAGGTAAAGATGGACAGATCTGAGGACATAAAGCTTTACGCAAAAGAATAAACAAAAAAAGCCAAAGATTGGGACACGGTATTTGCAACGTGTAGGACCAAAGACGAGGCTGGTGCTAAGACTATATAAATAAAGTATTCCTACCCACTGAGAAGGGTAACCATTTTTTTTTTTTAAGGCAAAAGATAAGAACAGTGAATTCACAGAAGAAGAAACCCAAATGACCAACGAACATATGAAAAGATGCTCAATAGTGAAGACATGCAAATTAAAACCAAAAATGAGACGCCACTTCACACCCGTCAGATTGGAAAAAATAAAGTCTGCAAACACCCGATGTTGCCAAGGATGTGTGAAAGGAGGAACTCAGACACACTCAGACACTACAGGTGGGAGTGTAAACCGGTATAAGTACCCGGGAGAACAGTTTCGCAGGGCTTTGTCAAGTTGACGGCGTGCTCTCTCTGAAACAGTAATCCATAGCCAGGTACAGTAACACCCCACACGAGTATGAAACCAGATTTAACGCAATTAGCAACCAGCTGTCATTGCTTGACCCAGACTAGGAGCTCACGTGGGCCACGAAGAGGCCGGCGAGTGTGGATGTGCACAGCGGGTCTCCTGAGTCTATGACACTTTTCCAGCCCATCTTCTCCCGATCAGACCAAGGAAATGAGTGCTAACCACGAAATCCTTGGAATGGTTGCTGTTGCCTTGCTACCAAGGCCCAGAATCATCCCCTAAAATACTGAAAGCCCAAGCACATAACTGACAGGTGGTCCAAACTGGAGATGGGACTTGTACAGACTAGGAGAGCTTAGGAGACTGAACTTATCTCCCCTTCCTGAGGCGTGTTCAAGGACATGCGTCACCACGTGTGCTGGACAGGATACTTGTAGGAGGTTCTGACAAAGAATTATACAAACAGGACGTCAGAGCAAGCATGCTGTAGCTCCTGGTGCAAATGAACTGTCTGTTGAGTATTTACTAAAATAAGTAGGATGATGTTTAAGAACTGAAGTTTTAATTCCATATAAATAGAGAAGAAAATTCATTATAATTCTGTAGTCACTTGTGGGCTCTGTCTGCATGCATTTTCTCAGTAGTAAAAATAGCTAATTCTATATTTATGAGTTGGCATGTTCCTTTGGGCCGTGGTTTCTTTTTTATTTCAACAATTTGGCAATAAAGATGGTATACCTCATTTGAGTCCTTCTGATGCTGAACTGGCTGTAAGATTTGTGCCCACCTTTGATTAGGGAAGAGACCCTGAATGTTTGATAAAACCTGTCCTGTTGACTCAGTGGGACTGGCTTCCTGGGGATAATTCTAAACTCTCATGGCAAATTCTGAGTTCTTGTATAATACAAACTCAAAGTTTGCATGGGATTCTCCACTGGCTAAAATGGTAGACGAATACAAGAAGCCTACCAGCAGGTACCTTTCTTTATCTTATTTTATTTTATTTTTTTTAAAGATTTTATTTATTTATTTGACAGAGAGAGAGATCACAAGTAGGCAGAGAAGCAGGCAGAGAGAGAGAGAGGGAAGCAGGCTCCCCGCTGAGCAGAGAGCCCGATGTGGGGCTCGATCCCAGGACTCTGGGATCATGACCTGAGCCGAAAGCAGAGGCTTTAACCCACTGAGCCACCCAGGCGCCCCAGGTACCTTTCTTTAAAAGGCTTATTTTACTGTCATGTTTGGAATATAAGCATGCTTATAAAAATCCTGCTTTGCGATGAC